TTAAAACACCCCTGTAAAAAAGCTCTCAAATTGAACAATTTAGATAATTTTTTGTTAGTAGCCGCTGCATGCCACCTCTCGGGGTTCCACACCCCATCCTCGAGGTAGGCCCTAGAGATGTTACTGGGCCAGGCCTGCGCGAGGGGTGAGTCGCGCAGGGCCAGCAGGACCGTCTTAAGGTACATAGGTCAGCAAAGGGTTAGAACTGATTCCCTAGCACTTTCTGTGTTGCCCACAAGCACCGTGGATCGGGCTCGTCATTCCTACATATAAATGTGTCCTGCTCTCCTAGTGTCCTGTTTGGGATCTGGGGAGAGCAGTGTGCAAGAAAACTTTTTTTTTTCCTGAATATAAGACGTTTGACTGGAGGGAAAAGAGAATGACCGATTACATTGAGTTTTTTTTTTTAAAAAAAAATCAGCTTTCTTTAGATGGCCTGGGCAAGGTTACTTTTTTTTTACTTGGAAGCCTTCCTTGGAATGACCAAGTGATCCTTCTGCACGGTTGAAGTCCTTCCAGGAAGAGCTGCGTAGGCGAAGAAGCCTCCATCTGGAGAGGCCATCTCTAGCCCATGGGGAAGGGGGCAGAGGACAGATCAAGAGATCTCGCAGCTGCAGAAGTGACCTGAGATGGCTCTCCACTGACCTTAAACAGACTGGCAAATGTCAGCCTGCATATTTTGATTTCTAAAGGGCTTTGCCAGGAGTCAGGCAGTGGCCGGGGGCCAAAGAATTGGTTCTTTGAGGATTCGGGATAATGAGCACACCAGTAAGTCAGGAGATTTTTTCAGCTTCATTAGTAATTTTAGCAGGCAGTTTTAAGCAGAAATAGAAGCAGATAAAGGAGAATATCTGTAGCTCAGGGTTAAAAAGTTGAGCTTGGCAGTTTTCTTGCAGAGGCTTCATTACCCAACTATTTTTCGTGCTAGAAGGGAATGGGGTGCAGTTGTTGTTGTTGATGGTGTTGGAGGAGGAGGAGGAGGAGGAAGAGGAAGACGACTGTGGGGTCCTTGGTGCTCTCTGAGCTGGCTTGTTTTCTTGCAGACGTTTCATGACCCAAACTAGGTAACATCACCAGTGCTAGAAGGGAGTGTGGGGTTAATAATAATAATAATAATAATAATAATAATAATAATAATAATAATAATAATAATAATAATAATAATAATAATAATAATAATAATAATAATAATAATAAAGTTGGAAGGGACCCTGGAGGCCATCTAGTCCAACCCCCTGCTCAGGCAGGAAACCCTATACCATTTCAGTCAAATGGCTGTCCAGTCTCTTCTTAAAAACCTCCAGTGTTGAAGCATTCACCGCTTCTGGAGGCAGGTAGTTCCACTGGTTAATTGTCCTCACTGTCAGGAAGTTTCTCCTTAGTTCTAGGTTGCTCCTCTCCTTGCTTAGTTTCCAACTGTTGCTTCTTGTCCTGCCTTTAAGTGCTTTGGAGAATAGCTTGACTGCCTCTTCTTTGGGGCAGCCCCTGAGATACTGGAACAGAGCTATCATGTCCCCCCTCGTCCTTTTCTTCATTGCAGAGGTGGGGGGGAGAGGACAGTGGGGTCATTGGTGCTCTCCGAGCTTGGCTGTTTTCATGCAGACATTTCATGACCCAACTAAGTAACATCCTCAGTGTGAGGGAGGGTGAGGTTTGCTCTCTGTTTATGTACCAGTGAGTTGCCTTGTGCAGTCACCCTTCTTGATTAGGTTGTTCTTTACGTGTTTGTCTGAGTTGGTCGTTCCTTGACTGGAGTATAAAGAGACAGCAAACCCCACTCCCTTCTAGCACTGATGATGTTCCCTAGTTTAGTAATGAAACGTCTGCAAGAAAACCGCCAAGCTCAGAGAGCACCAAGCACCCCACAGTCCTCCTCCTCCTCCTCCTCCTCTCCACAACCCCCCTCCCTTCTGACACTGATGATGTGTCTAGCTGGGTAATAAAAGGTCTGCAAGAAAACCACCAGACTCAGAAAGCACTGAGGATCCCACAGACCCCTCCTCCTCCTCCTCCTCCTCCTCCTCCTCCTCCTCCTCCTCTTCTCTGCAAACCCCACTCCCTACCGGTACTGATAATGTTACCAAGTTGGGTCATGAAACGTCTGCAAGAAAACCACCAAGCTCAGAGAGCAACAAGGACCCCACAGCCATCTCCTCCTCCTCCTCCACCACCTCCTCCTCCTCCTCCTTCTGCTCCTCCTGCTCCTCCTGCTCCTCCTCCTCCTCCTCCTCCCTGCAAATTGCACTCCCTAGTAGGACTGATGATGTTACCCAGTTTGGTAATGAAACGTCTTCAAGAAAATCTCCAAGCTCAGAGAGCACCAAGGACCCCACAGTCATCTCCTCCTCTTCCTCCTCCTCCTCCTCCTCCTCCTCCTGCTCCTGCTCCTCCTGCTCCTCCTCCTCCTCCTTCTCCTGCTCCTCCTGCTCCT